TTCTTAGTCAAGTTGCAGTGCCATCCTTCATAGGATACCCTTGTATATTTTATTAAACCCTTAGCAACGCAGAGCATCTAGAACCACAGAATCAAAATTAATTCGAAATTCATTGCAGGGGTTCTGCAGCCACATTTTCAGATGGAAGCTTTCTGTGAATGAAATATTCTCTGCCAGAGAGTGTATTATTAACTCAACGTGCGTTGGGTTTCACAATATACTTTACGCACCTATCGCTTCCTTCCTTTTTAGATCAGGTTGCTAGGTTGCATCCTGGAGACCGACACTGCGTATCTACATCTCCCAGAGAAGCTGGACCTGCAGCAGCTGCAATTTCACCAACTTCCTTCATCCGTTCCCTGCCCTTCTCCGATTGATGCAAACAATACAACTCCTTGGAGAAAGCCGTTTTTTGTTTTTCTAAAGGACAGGCCATTTTATGGCTACTGAGGCTGCAATCCTCTGCCCGCTTCCCAGGAGTCAATTCCACTGGATACCTCTGACTAGGCATACAGAGACTTAACTAAGGAATTCAAACTTGTAGACTCAGTATGTAACCTGGCAACTCTGCCACAAGATGCTGAGAAGAAAACAAGCACATATCAGGCAGCTGTACCCATCATTCTCCCATCTCACCACTAGATGGTCTACTCTGTTAAAATATTTCTGATTCCAACAAAGGTTTCTGAATCAGGGCATCAAATAATTACTCAGAAGACTGGCTTCTATGCCCAAAAGCCTGGCAGGGGCTGATGGTGCTTAGCTAGAGGTGGCCTCTTTTATAATTGGTGGGGGTTTTGTGTGTGTAAAATGGTTTTAAAATATTCATTTGGCTTCATAACACTTCCTATCCCTTGGGCTCAGTAGCAATAATACCGCCCCTTGACACTAATGCAGGCACATTAAGTCCCATCGATGGAAAATGTGGAGAGCACTCAGAGGTTTTGCAGCTGCAACAACAAAAAAAGCCCAAAGCACTTCTGTCAGGCAAGAGGCCTTTCTAATGAATGAACAGTTTTAAAAATAATGATTTCGGGAAAGGAAATGACATGCAGCATAGCTGGGAATCCAAGGTGATGCAATGGATAGTGGAGGTTTTTGAGCAGGGGATGCCAACTAGTTTGAAGCTCTACTCAGTGTTGGGAACTCAGTAACCTTTAGCTCAAGCTACTTTAGAGCTGTTGCGCTGATACACATAATGCAATATGCGGCTCAGGATCGCGATACCTCAAGGACTGCCTCTTTCCATATGAAATTACCCAGACCCTGAGATCATCTTCTGGGGCCCTTCTTCGTGTGCCTCCTCCTCGAGAGGTCTGAAAGGTGGCAACATGAGAACAGGCCTTCTCTGCAGTGGCTCCCAGTCTGTGGAATGGTCTCCCCAGGGAAGTTCACCTAGCACCTTCATTATACACCTTTAGGCACCAGGCAAAAACGTTCCTTTTTAACCAGGGCATTTGGTTGATCTTATTGACATCCAACACCCTTTTAAAATGTGGTTCTTTGGGGTTTTTTATTGGGTTGTTTTTATTTTATATATTTTGTGATTTTATATCTTGATTTTATTCTGTGAACCGCCCTGAGATCCCCGGGTATAGGGCGGTATATAAATTCAAATTATTATCATTATTATTAATAAGAATATTGTGACCACTCATAAAACCACGGAGTTGGACGGACCCTCAAGGGTCATCTAGCCTAACCCCCAATGAACTGGTGGAACTCACTGCCACAAGAGAAGTGACGATAGATTCTCAAGCTGGGTAACAAATTGATCCACAGACTGCTACTAGTACATTATGGCTTCATGGGAGCTCCAGGTTTTGTTTGTTTTCTTCCTGTAACTCTTCTAAAATTGAGTTCACTCATGGGATACAAACGCAAATCAATACAAAAAGAAATAAATGAATTGGCTTAAATTAGTAACAGGCTCACGTTTTGAGGCCAAAAGAGGAGGAAACAGTGGAAGGCAGCTACTGCTTCCAAGCCCTGCTTGTGGACTCCTTGAAGGCCACTGGTTGGGCAAAAGTGGGCAGCAAGATGCTGGACCTTTCGTCTGATCCAGCAGGGCCAGTGTGGTGTAGTGGTTAAGAGCGGTAGTCTTGTAATCTGGGGAACCGGGTTCACGTCCCCGCTCCTCCACATGCAGCTGCTGGGTGACCTTGGGCTAGTCACACTTCTCTGAAGTCTCTCAACCCCACTCACCTCACAGAGTGTTTGTTGTGGGGGAGGAAGGGAAAGGAGAATGTTAGCCACTTTGAGACTCCTTCGGGTAGTGATAAAGCGGGATATAAAATCCAAACTCTTACGTTCACAAAAACAACCAGAAACCAAAACCAGATGCCCAATGCAGGGTTCCACCCCGCAGGCTATGGCTTCCCTCTTCCATTTTCCCAGCTCAACAGTTGTATGCAGGGACTACCTAAGGATCCACATTTGGAGAAGGGAGTTCCACATTAACACTCCAAATTAAACCACATGTTCTTCCTGCACTATAGAAGTGACCCTTAAACTGTGGGAGCACTGAGCAATGGAGAAGATCCTACAGCACATGGGAACTTTCTAAACCCAACCATCACAATAACAGACCCTTCCAAGTGTTTCTATTTTCCTGGGACGTCCCTGGTTTAGGGACGCCATCCTGGTTTCTTATTTGATCCCAGAATGTCCTGCTTTTCCTTAGGATGCCCCTACTTTCATTGCAGAAATGTTGGAGGATATGGAGTTATCCAACTCCTGAGCTGTCTGAAGGCAATCCTGTATAGGGAAGGTTTTTGGTTTTTTTTTTAATGTCTTAACGCTTTATTTTGCTTTTATATATGCTGGAAGCTGCCCAGAGTGGCTGGGACTACCCAGCAAGATGTGTGGGGTATAAATAGTAAAGTTATTATGGAATGGGGCGTCCCTATTATCATCAGGGAAAGTATTTTTGCCTGACGGTATAAAACTCCCTTTTGTGTTGGTTTCATTTTAAATCCCAGGTTACACTACCCTGCTGCCAGCAGATGGCAGCAAACAGCTTCGACGTGCAGGATGAGTCACTAATTTTTAAATCAGATTTCCCAAATCAAGATAGGCAGCTAGAAGACATAAAGTTCTTTGGAACAGAGACGCATCTATTTGGTTTGATTTCCAGGAGTCTTTTTTCCTTGGGGAAAAAACCAAACTCATTTAGACATAGGGATTTAGCTGGAGGATGGGTTGGAAACTGGATAAAATAGGCAGGTGCTTCAGAATACCCCAAACATAAATGCAAATTTGGGGGGAGATGATGCCTCTTGGAAATATATGCCTTTACTGCGGAATAGTGAAAAGTAGCAGCCGTCCTCAAACTCTTGCTTCATTGCCCCCCCAAATTTCCAGTGACTATTGAAAAAGGAAGATGTAGAGCTTCCCTCTCAAAAAGGGAAATGTTGGAGATAAATGCGGCTGTGCTGTGCTCAGAGAACAGCACTCTGCACATGCTTGAAAGTGCTCTTATGTTCTGTATGTGTGCCAGGGCTGGGCTCTGGCACCAAAACCTAGTGTTTCCTGGGGAGAGGGGATGGTGATTACACCAGTCTGGGAATTGTTGTTTGGGGGGAGGAGGGGGAGGAATAGCAACACGCAGAACTATACTTCCCAGGATTTATTCAGGGGTGGGGTCGTGGCTGTTTAGAGGTGATGCTACTGCTTCGAAGCAGCATGGTCCAGCTTTAAATGCACAAGGATTTGCAAGAACGATAATCAGCCTGCAATTCAAAATTTGGATATGTTCAGGTTTTCAGAAAGACTGCTAAGCAAACCCTGGACGTTTACGTGCTCAGGATAGGGCCCCCTGCTAGGCTCTGGTGCAGCAAAATCCAAGACATCAGACCTCTGCCGTGTGAGCCTTCTTCTTCATTGCCACTTTCCCCCATCTTGCTTCTTATCCTTACCCATGCCTTTTGGTTATTGCCTAGCAACCACAAAATGCAGTTATGTTTCTCCATGGATATAGCAGAACAGCCTTCCTGGTGAGGTGTGATATTGGCACAAAGTAGCCGACTTCTGATTCCACGTGACAGGGCAGCCCCTGAACCTTGGAGAGCTGTGCAGAAGCGATTTCAGCAGGCGTTGCTTGCCAGAATTCAGACATTAAGATTGTGTGTGTGTGTGTGTGTGTGTGTGTGTGTGTGAGTGAGAGAGAGAGAGAGAGAGAGAGAGAGAGAGAGAGAGAGAGAGAGATCTATAGAGAGCAAGAGCTTGGGGCAGTCAGTCTCTAACTAGCCCACTTCACAGGGTTGCTGCAAGGATGAAAACACAGAGAGGGAGAACCATGAAACCCTGAGCTCCTTGAAGGCAAGGCAGGCTATAAATTTAATACATCCTCCACAACATCATAAACACATGGAGAGCAAAGCCACATGTGCTATTCCCCTCTGGGAGAGGGCTCATCTTGGGTGGGGGTGTGGAGGTAGTGACTGTCCCCTGTTTATTATTTGACTATCCTCTACAGACCTACAATTGTGCGGAAGATAATGCCTGCAGAGGGCTTGGGTTGTAGCCTTTCTCTTTGTCTTTGGCACGGTGTTGGTTAAACTGAATTACATCACTAAGAGCTGGAGGGAAAGTTGAGACTTGGCTTCTTGTACAAGTTGTCCTGCAGAGTTTGCACAACTTCCCGCTCTCCCCCCACCCCTTGATGATAAAAGGATCCCCTTCTTTCTTCTCCAGAAACCGTGAGTCCAGCTCTGTGCGATAGACAAAAAAGGGGAAAGCTGCTTGGCCCAATGAAAGATCACACACACACACACACACGCTCATCACCATCCATTTACCTGACTTAAGTTTACAGTTCTGAACCTATGCGGGGGCAATGGTCCACTGGAATGCACCCAATTTCCAGCAGATGTCAGCATTCTCTTTTCCACTCCTTTCCACAGGTAGTGGAGACAGCTTAAAACAGAGACAGCTTAAAACAGAGCAGCAACATTTGCTAATATGTTTCCCTACCAAAAAATAAATAAATAAGCAAAAGCCATAATTATTTGTATATTTTATTCATAGTATAAAAGAAAAAAAAGGTCTACAGTATTCCCCAAGTTACATTATTTAAAAAAGAAAAGAAATAGAAACAGAACAAAAGAATTAAACAGTGCACACGAACAGCCCTTACACCTCCGTGGGTTATGTATCATACAAGTAAACAGGGATTCTTGGGGCATATAAAAAGATATCTACACCAGATAAACTTGTTAGTATTCACAGCACGCACGCACGCACACCCACACTTGCACACAAATAGCCCGACTTAAAGCTGAAATGACCTTATTTGTACCAAAACTTTACAAAAAGTAGTTTTATACTAGACTAGAAAAGAAGTCATGAATGTGCTTATTAAAGCATGTAAATATTAACCATTACGTGTGATATAAATAAAGAACAAAAAATGGTTCTAAACGTAGGTTTTGGGAGTGTGGAATAAAAAAACCTTAACTTGGGGACGCACAAAGTATTCCAACTTTGTTTCCCAATAATGTCCCTATGTCAGAAGGAGCAGCAGGTGTGTAGGTAATGAGTAAGGTATTAAACCAAAGGTCCTACATGGAAACGGGCACCTCTCCTTTCCATACATCAATTCTCACTCTCAATCACCCCCCACCCCACCTTCTGCAGTTAACACCCAAGACAAACTAAAGAGTGTCGTGGGGGGGAAAAGTCAAAAGAAAGATACACTACTATCAAAGCAGCATTTCCACCAGGTTGCCACCGTTCCGTGAAAATGCCCCGTCAGTGCCAGGCACTTTGGGGGTGATTTTAGACCCAGATCATCACCCTTTCCATGTGTCACCCACAGTTTGTGCCTGATGAGTCCTGCTTTAGTGGTTACTCTTGGGCTTCCTTGCGAGCCAGTTTGTAAACCTCTGTCGGTCCGTCCACGTGGGTTATGGTGGTAGTGAGCTGAAGCTCTTCTCCGCTGTTTACTCCCAGGTCTCCTGGAAAAAATAAAATAAAGCCATGTTTCAGACAAAAGCTGAGTTTTGGCATGAGGAGAGTCACAGAACAGGCGTCCATGAGGCCTTTGGAAGAGAGTATTCTTTTTGAAAAGTTGGCAATAAGGGAACGCCTTTTTAAAAGTCTGCATCAAACTTTAAAGCAGAGACTTTAATTCAGGAATTGCCTTTGAGAGTTCTGTCTGTGGCAGGATTTGGTACATAAGAACACATCCTTAAACTGATCAGTCCACACGATCAGTACAAGCCAAAGGAGGTGATTCCACATGCCATTTCTGGGTCACAATGATCTAGCCACAACTGGGCACAGGCAGACTTTAGGTTAAAGGGATCTACTATTTTAACTATAACTTTTTGAGGTGAAATAGAGCCAGTTGTGAAATAGCATACCTCAAATACCAAACCAGCATGGACTTAATCACGGCTTGTAGCCCTGAATGCTTTTGGCAACTAACTTTTTAGGACAGGCCTACATGTCACTAAAGGAAAAGTGGGTTTCTGTCTGAATACATGCTCAGCTCAGGATTTTGTTTTCTGTACAGGGACTTAACAGTTCTGTTACAAAAATATCAACTCTTGGTTTCCCCCCACCATCTCAGCAGCCTCCTTTAGAAGGCGTGGGACAAGGGAGAGAAAGCCTTTTTGCCACTGCCTTGGTGACGACACTGCCCATCACCTGGAGATCGACCAGCAATTACAAAACAACTTCCACACACCTTACATTCAAAGAAACATAGGAGAGAGCCTGCTTTATCATGTCAATGGCTCATCTAAGTCTAGCATCCTGTTCTCACCCAATGCCTATGGGAAACCCTTCATGATTAGAACAGGAGGCAGAATGATCCCCAAAACCGCAATATAGGTTTTCCTTGGCTACCCTCAACATAGAAACATCCATTAGCAGTCACAACTCCATGCTACCAATACAACTAGGCTACCAATGAGAGGATACCCAGACTTAAAACATACAAAAGACCCCGTCTTCTAAAAAAAATTACTGAGGTGACTTCAACCCAAGCCACTGCTGCATCAGCCCACCGTTTGATTGCTCTTCGACGTAGTTTTTGTGTGAGGGAGCATACAAGAACATCAGAGCAAAGACATAAAGATTCCACATCCCGTAGATCCCTGTGAAAAAGGCACTGTTCACTTGGACGGTGTAGTCGCCCCATTTCCAGCTGCCTTCAGTCACCTACGCAGGAGAAAGAGAAGGTAAAACCAAGTGAGGAACAGAGCAAGCAGGAAAAACAACCGAATCCCAACCACGCCCTTAAGAGAAACGGCCCTTTCTGTGTTGGAAATTGCAACTCCCATTCCTTTTCCAGGGTCCTCATTCCTAGGCGTGACCTTACTGGTTTGCTTTCTCTACATACAATGACTAGAAGAAAAGGAAACAGGGCCAATCCTATCTTGAACCACGATGGGCCACGTGGCTCAGGCGGTGGAATTGTATGCACCGTTTGACACCTGCAGAGCTGGCCACGCACTATAGCCACACTCACTTGATAGTTAGTTGTTAGGAGACTTCAATTCCCCTCACAGAACTACACTTCTTAAGAGTGTCTTAACCATGGGTAGGCAAACTAAGGCCCGGGGGCCGGATCCGGCCCAATTGCCTTCTAAGTCCAGCCCGCGGACAGTCCGGGAATCAGCGTGTTTTTACATGAGTACAATGTGTGCTTTTATTTAAAATGCATCTCTAGGTTATTTGTGGGGCAAAGCAGCAGAGGCGCTGGTGCTTTCTGGGTGACATTGGCTGCAGTGTGTCACTTGGAAGAAGGAGCCGTTTCTTAGTAAAGGAGCATCTGTGCTTTGTCAGCAGCAAGCAAGCAGGTGGAGAAGAGTGGAGTACCCCCAGTTTTGCCAGTTGGGGGTAGGAGGAGATGGAAGGGCCCCGTCTCAGGTGGCACAATGCATTGTGCTGCCCCTGGAAGCAATGCAGTGTGGGTAAATGTTTTGTAGGTGATCATTTCCAGGCCCCATTCGCCCATGCTCTCCAACATCTCCGCTACATGGTTAAAGCTTCAAATACGGGGGGGGGGGGGATGCACACGGTCTTGTCTCGGAATAATAGGCAACCCCAATTCTGAATGCAAAGGTTATTTGTTGATTCCAACAGGTCATTAGGGAAGGACCAGATGAAAGCCCTTACCCAAAACAACATAAAGTTTCTCCAGCAGGTTTTAAAAGGCCACAGGCCCAAGCACCATGTAGATACAATTTGGGCGGGGGGGGGGGGGGAAACCTCTGTGAAAAGTCATTTTTAGGATACTCACCTGACTGACAATGAAAAATATTATGGTCATGGCTGCACAAGCTAATGTGATTAGCATCAAGAACTTGAATCTGAAAATCAGCCCCTAGGGAGACACAGAAACGTAACAAGTGTGTGTTTAGGGGGAATGTAGCTTCAAATATTTCAAAGATTACTGGGAAAGCAAGCGAGAGGGAGACAGTCAGGTCAGCACCTTTAGGCTCAAAGAACTTTGCTGTCAATATCCCGATCTCTTCTGATGGGATAAGCCTTTGTTTTGCTTGCCACCCTTAAAGCCTGGTGAGCATTCAACATACAGCATGTTTAACCCTTGCTGCCTGGCAGCATCTCGATGGAAGGTAAGAAGAGAGGGATTATAAGTGCTGGGCCTTTCACCCAGGGCAAGGCAGGGCGGTGTGGCTTCCCTGGCTTCTCTTTTTTTTTTTTTATAAACTTTATTACAAGCACATAAACTTACACATACAAAGAGAAAACATTGTATAGTAAAAAACGCGAAACAAACAATAAGATAAGACACATACACCTAGAAAAAAACAAACAAAAGAAAAAATTCCAATCACACCCTTACACACATTTGACTTCCATTAACCTCAGCTTTGGATTAAATATTCTACATAAGTCTTCTGCAGTTATTTTCGTTTTATCTTTACATGTCATAGGAGTTAAGCATCGTCTACTGTTAAATTATTAATTCCCAAGTTGGTCTCAAGGTAACTTAAAAATTTGGACCAGTCCTCTTTCTTTTTAATGGGATTATCCCGCCTAATATATTGTGTAAGTCTCGCCAATTCCAAATATTGATACAATTTCACCTGCCACTCTCTCATTGTGGGTACTTCGGGGGATTTCCATTTCTTTGCTATTAAAATCCTCGCTGCAGTGGTGGCGTACTGGAAGAAGGTCTGGTCCGTCTTTTTTATTTCCTCCCCAATCACCCCTAAGAGGAACGCTTCCGGTTTCTTTGGGAAATTGTACTTCAAAATTTTCTTTAACTCCTCATAAATTTGTCCCCAGAAACCCTTCACTTCCTCACAGGTCCACCAGATATGGAGGAAAGTTCCCACCTTATCTTTACACCTCCAGCAAGTGTTATCTGCTGTTCTATACATTCTCCCTAGTCTTGCCGGAGTCAGGTACCAACGATACATCATCTTATATAGATTCTCACGTAAGTCAGCACACGCAGTAAATCTCATGCCTTTCTTCCACAAAGTTTGCCATTTATCATATCCTAGCTCGTATCCTAGATCTTTGTTCCATTTAATCATTACCTCTTTAATCAACTCTTCCTTATTTTCACTTTCCAGTAGTTGCCTATACATTTTGGAGAGTAGTTTGTTATTACTCTCCAGAATCTCCACTTGGAATCTAGATTTATTTTCTCCCATACCTATTCTCTTATGTTCCCTCCATAGTGCATTAATTTGGTGCAGGTGAAACCAGTCCTTAATTTTCTCTTTCAATTCATCCTGCGGTCTTAATTTCCACCCTTCTTCTGATTTAATTAGGAGATCCTCATACGTCCACCTTTTACCTATCATGTTTAGTTTCTTTATTTTGGTGATGTCCACAGGTGAGAGCCACCAAGGGGTACTTTGTTCAATCGCGTTTTTCTTCCTATTCCAAACTTCTAAAAGTGAACCTCTAACTATATGATTATAGAAGCCTCTATGGACTTTATCCTTCTCCTGCCAGAGGTAGGCATGCCACCCAAATCTTAAATCAAATCCTTCCAGGTCTAATAAATCAGTATCTTTCAGAGTGGCCCAATCTTTTATCCAAAGTAGGCATGCCGCCTCATAATACAGCCTTAAATTTGGTACGCCAAGGCCCCCTCTTTCCCTGGAATCCATCAAATATTTGAGTTTCACCTAGGTTTTTTCTCCTGCCAAATATATTTGGTCAGAATCCTTTGCCAGTTTTTAAAGCAGGCGGTACCTTTTATAACTGGTAAGTTCTGGAACAGGAATAGCAGTCTCGGGAGAATACACATCTTAAATCGATGCCATCCTCCCGGTCCAAGATAGATTCAATCTACGCCAGGTGTCCATATCCTTCTTAATTTCTTTCCACAACTTGTTATAATTATCCTCTACCAAGTTAATATTCTTTGGCGATAACCAGATTCCCAAATATTTCACTTTATTTACATCTACTTTTTTAATATTTCCACTCTGTGCACCGCGTGTTCCTTGTTTCCCATGCTTGGTCAGATGTCCTCCACTGCCAAATATTGTACCTCAGTATCAAAGGACACTTCCTCTTATATAAGAATTTCTGTGTTCTTCTTCCCCGCATATATTAAGGGCGTTGAGAAATCACGGATCAAGAGAATTATTACCGCCAACTACTCTAAAACACCTCTCCCAAAATTTTCTTGATTCCCTGCAATTTGAAGCGCTCTGTATTTCAGTTGTAATGGGATTTCTGGTGAGTCTGCTTTTCAGCAAACCGGAATAGCCTCGTGTGACGGAAATCAGTTCCTTTGCTTTCAATGCGCAGAGTTGGAGAGCAGAAGCATGGAAGCCCAGGCAATTGAGCTCACTTCCAGTAAAGGACTTTCAGCTTAGAAAGTAAAAGCCCCAGCTTGGGGAGAGTGATTGGTGTGCCAACCAAAGAGACTGCCTGCCCAGATGTGAGCTGGGCGCCTCGGGTTTGACATTTTGTAACTCGTGAATATCTGTGTGGCTTGGCGCTGGTAGGGCCAATGCAAAAACCCACGCTTGAGACTGTGTTGTGACAAAGTTGTAGCCCTTCCCGCCCGCCAGCCAAACAAAACCGTGAAGGGCTGCTGAGTCCCACAGATATTCACGAGTTACAAATGTTCAAACCCGAGGCACCAGCCACTTCAGTGACACATTTCTGCAGCCAGCTAGCCTCTTGTTGCACCATCCAAGTCACTTCCCCAAGCTGGGCTTAACTTTCTAGCTGAAAGTCTCTTACTGGAAGGTGAGCTCAATTGCCTGGGCTTCCCCAATGCTTCCTGCCTCAAACTCTTGCGCCTGGTAAAAGCAAAGGAACTGCAGTTCACAAGAGGCTATTCAGGTTGCTTGAAAAAGCCAGGGACTCACCAGCAAAATCCCCCATTAACACTGAAATACCATAGCAGCTCAAAATTGCCAGGGGAAATCAAGAAGAGGTGTGTTTTTTAGAGTGGGTTTTTTATTTTTTACCTTTTCGGGGGGAGCCCTTCAGAGGTCTTCTTGTTTTGTGTTTGGTTTTATTGGCCCATTTGGCGTGGCCAACTGTCACAGAACAACACCAAACAGCGGTGCAGAAAATAAAGATGAAAACCAACACAAAACGTACAACACGGACACACATTTACAAGAAAAGAAAAGAAATAATACCATAGCGGCATGGAAAACAACAGGAGAATAAAAATCTGCAACGATTGAAAAGAAAACTAAACCACGGAAACGCCAGCGGCTGCTCCGGCAAAAGCTTTTAAAAGAACGGTGAAAAGCAGAATGGTTTGCCTTCAAGTAACGGAAAAACAGACGCATGCAGGATTGGAGAGGCAGCCACAGAAGAAAAACGAAGGTAATAAGGAAATACTGGACCTGTACATGGGGACGGTCACAGTTTCGCTCGGTAGTAATTCCAAGTCGAATGCCAAATCGGTTCGAGTGAGGTTTGTGGCATAGAACCTCCACGCAGCCTTGCGAAAGGGAAGGAATTATTTATAATTATTATTATTATCAATTATTTATTGAATTCATTACACTGCCCTATTACCTGGGAGTTCTCAGGGCGCTTCACAGAGTAAAATCAAGATATAAAACCACCCAAATACCTAATTAAAAACAGCAACTCAATTCCCCGGCCCCCCAAAAAACACATTTTAAAAGGGCATAGGATGTAAATCGATCAACAAAGGCCTGGTTAAAGCAGGAACCATTTTTGCCTAGTGCCTAAAGGTGTACAATGAAGGCCGCCAGGTAACTTCCCTGGGAGAGCATTCCACAGATGGGGGAGCCACTGCAAGAAGGCCCCGTTCTCGTGTTGCTCCCTCCAGACCTCCTTGAGAGGAGGCACACGAAGGAGGGCCTCAGAATATTTATCTCAGGGCCCGTAGTCATATTTGGAAAACAGGCGCGCCTTGAGGAGCAGGTGTAATGTAAAGAGGGTGTGAAGCAAGGAGAGAGATCTGTTGCTGCGAATCTATCATTACACCAGGCCTGGGGGCCGGGGGAGTCTTGGGGTGCTTTTGGACTACAATTCCCATCTCCCCAGCCAGCAAGGTCGGTGTTAAAGGATTAGCTGAACAGCACCTGGAAGGCGACAGACATCCCCATGCCTTTAAAGAGGACCGAAAAGACCATCTCAGGTTGCATTCAGCTTATCATTTTATCTTTAGCTGCAGCAATGGCAGAGTAGTATCATTCCCCTGTGGGTGAAAAAACCATATGGAGAGGGGAGAGATTCTATCAGAAAAAAACAGCCTATGGAGGAAAACTGATTAGGCAAGCACACACATTCTCTCTCTCTCTCTCCACACACACCCCTCAGATGTGATGCTCCTCAACAGCTTGAGATGTTTACTTCGTGCAGGCATTTACTTTGCCTCAAATGCCCTGCATAATCCATATTCTTTCCTCTCTCACACTCTGAAGAGCTGTGCCAGGAATAAGGAACAGTTCCCCACCAGTGCCGCTGGGTGATTTTGCAGCAATTTCCAGTCCCTCTCTCTCTCTCTCTCTTCTCCCCACGCCAAGATTTCAGTTTCTCCTAATGAAGGGATGGGGGAGAATGTGATCTTAAGTTGGAATTTTTTAAAAATAGAAGATGAAAATGTTACTCTTTCTAGCCACACAGGAATCTGTTTTGGAGCAGCAGCAAAAACCTTGCACCCCAATTTTCCAGAAGCCAAAGCCGTGGAATTCAGCCACAGGAAAGATGAGTTTGCCCGTGTAATTAATTAAGCTTGCCTGCTAAGTCCTTTCTTCTCTCCCACTGTTGCCCCAGCTTAAGACTAGCTGAACAAAGCTAGCTGCCTTCTGGTGATGGGGGTCATGCTCAAGTGATGCCTCAGCCTGAAAGAGGGACAAGCATCAACAAGAACTATAGCGTCCAGATCAAGCGCAGTATAGTACTGCCTTAGTCAGACCACACCTGGAA